AGGCCCAACACAAAATTTGTGTAACAAAGAAAATGTGTGTGTGTGTAGAGATGGCAAGGAGATACATAGTTTCTGTTCAAATTTTCATCAAATCCCCAGATTGCTTGACAAAAATTTATTAATAATAAATAGTAGTCACTTAAACAAAAAGCGGATAGTATGCAGTCTTGTCTTGGCTTTTTCATTAAGCATGAGATGGGTCCAGGAATATGTACCCGAACTGCTAACGCCTAAACATAAAGGTGTACAAGACTCATGACCTCGCATCCTGAGAGGGGAGAAAACTTTTTAAATTTCTTTTTTTGTTTTGAGACAGGGTCTTACTGTATAGTTCAGGTTGGCCTTGAACTCACAAATAGTCCAGGCTGGCCTTGAGCTTGCAGTGATCCTCCTGTCTCAGTCTCCTGAGTGCTGGGATTACAAATGTGTGCTGGGCTTTAAGTTTTTATATGGTTTATTGTCGAGAATAATAATCAGACAATGGTGGTGCACGCCAGTAATTCCAGCGCTCTGGGAGGCTGAGGCAGGAATATCTCAAGTTACAGCCCAGCCTGGGTAACTTAGCAAGACTGTGTCTCAAACAAACAAACAAACAAAAACGAGGGGGGCAGGCTGGGGAGGTAGCTTAGTGCAAAGGCTCTTCGTTCCATCCACAGTACTGCAACAAATAAAAAAACAATACATACTTACTTATATTTTTCAGTATTTGACTAAGGTTTGGGAGGAGGGGTCAATGCCAGGAAACATAAAATACATTTTATTTTATTTTCGGTTGGAGATCAAACCCAGGGATTCGTTGTACCACTGAACCACACTCCCAACCCTTTTAAAAATGCATTTTTCTTGCGGTGGTGGGGATCGAAAAAAATGCATTTCAATCATCGAAGTCCTGCTTTTTTGGACAGGTTGTGCAACTTGCACGACAGAGGGCAAGGGTGTGGGTGGCATGTGGGCTCTACTACCCTGATGCCTTCCATCTAGGGGGTGCAGGTACTCGCAGGACTTCCTGTACCCCAGAGCACACGCGGTCAACCAGGAGCGACAGCCGCCTACACCCCGCCCAGGAAGCTCGCCAGACTCTTCCTCAATTTCAGCAGGGGTCGGAGGGCGAAGCGTCAGGACTATGGCCACGATAATCTCGAGAGGCTCTAGGTAGACGGAACGCTCTCACCGTTCCACCTGGACGCGTGTGAATACTCCTCCCGGGTGGGTTTGCAGGCGTGTTAGCGTGCACTTCTGTGCAGCTGGTGCACCGAATTGCAGAGGCAAACTGTGGGCGCCCCCTCGCGGGCAGACCGCGGCAAAGCGGCGTCCCAGAGCTCATGGCCGCCGGGAGGGGCTTCGACGCTGTGTGGAGTCTGGGGACCAGACTGCAGCGCGTCCCGGCCAGGCTGACACCTACCGGGCTCGGGCAGAGGAGCGGGCGCCGGGATACGTGCAGGTGTCGGGCGTAGGCAGAGCACCAGAACAGCACCGCCGCCAAAGGCCGAACACACCTAGGGTACTCGCGGAGCCCCCTCCACGCTCAGCGGAAGTGGGGGGGCGGTTCCGCCTCGCCCCCGCCCCCCGAGACGGGCCAATCAGCGCGCTCGGCTCATGAATAGTGAGCACCGCCC